ACCAAGCTTCTGCCTCCTGCCCCCGCAGGGGAGAGCGGTGGGCGGGGGGCTGAGTGGGGCGGGGGGCCAGGACCCCCCCCCCCACCTGCTCTCCCCTGCGGGGGCAGGAGGCAGAAGCTTGGTCCTGTGGCAGCCAAGCTTCCCTCCTCCTCCGCTTCTTCCCCCAGCGTGGCGCTTTCCGGCCCCTCCGCCCCTCCTCCTCCTCCTCTCACCGGGCAGGCAGCGTGCCACTCAAAATCGGCTCGCGTGCCATGTTTGGCTCGCGTGCTGTAGGTTGCCGACCCCTGTATTAAACCATTCATTTTAATGTATTTAAGATTGATTATTTAATAGTGTGCATTGTTTGGACATTAACTAAACATAACATTTTGATGGTTCCAAATTTTAAAAAATCTTGGAATTTTTTATTTTGCGGGAAATTTCAGCTTTTCAGTCCGATTTGGAACAAAACCCCATTTCAAAACGTTGGCATTTCCATGGACCGGGCCGTCCCGTTTCCCAGGAAGAGCTGTAATTCCTGTTATTCAGTGGGTGTCTCTCCGCCCACCCCCACCCAAGATGACTGTCTGATTAACTCCCCTGGTCTCTGTTTCTGCAGGCTGGGCTCACTCCTTGCTACATTCCGGCACCAGCCACAAGCCTTGGGGGAGCTGAAGGGAATGAAACTGCTGGCTGCCTGCTTCATGTACCTGCTGCTCATCTGTCTGGCTCTGCCCAAAGCCGAATGCCGACTTCACGAGCGATCCATGGAAATCAGGAGTAAGTCCCTGTAACTGCAGCAGCCAGGCCAGCTCCTTAGCTGGTGCAGACTGGCGCAGAGCCACCCTGTAGCGGGGTGGTCACCCGCTCCTGCCCTGAGGGGGTTAAAACAGGCCAGGAGAGGGCCGTGGCTAGGGGCAAGCAGCTCCCAGGCTGAGTGGGGAAGCAGGCACAGCTGCGGCCATGCCCCAAACAGACCTCAGCTAGCCCTTATAAAAGGGCTGTGAGCAGGGCCACCCAGAGGATTCAGGGGGCTTGGGGAAAAGCAATATCAGGGGCCCCTTCCATTAAAAAAAAGTTGCAATACTATAGAATACTATATTCTCGTGGGGGCCCCTGCAGGGCCCGGGGCATGGGGCAAATTGCCCCACTTGCCCCCCACTCTGGGCAGCCCTGGCTGTGAGCCAGAGGCTGAGAGAGCGTCTCCTCTAGCTGTGGAGGGAGATGGGCCTGGCTGCTGGGGACCGTACCAGGGTACCTGAGGTGGAGCAGCGCTGGGGAAAGGCGAGAGGAGCTCCTGCCTGGCAACTCCCCAGGCTGCCGGCCTTGTGCAAGGCCAAACAGGTACTGTGGTTGCAGAGGGCAGCCCACGGGTAGGCCAAGGCAGCAGGTCAAAACCCACCTTGCCTGTGATGAGTGGCTTGTACACTGCGGTCTGCCCCAGTGAGTGGGGACTAGATGGTGACTGGCAGTAGCCCACGACTGAGGTGAGGTGGGGATAGTGGGTGGGGATTCCCCTGGGTGGGGAGACCCAGAAACTGTGGGGGTACTGCCAGGGGCAGCCCCCAAGAGAAAGGCGCACCGGGGTCCGGGAGGGACAAGGGGGCCCAGCGAAAGGCGAGACACCGGCCGACAGAGGGCCCTCCGGAGGCTGGAAAGCTAATTCCCTGGACGACCAGCGGGCGGCACCGCGGCGGTGAGTCTCGCACCATTACACACCCCAAATGGCTATGCTGCCCCCCACCCCTGTTATCTCTGCCCTCCCCCAGATAATTGGATCCAGCTCCCTTTGGGATGGTCCCTGTACCTCCCCGGGCACAGTGACCGCAGCTGGGCGTGGTCCTGGCTTGGAAGAAGCGGGGTCCCCTTGCACACATGCACACGCCTCTGTAAGGACCTGTCCCAACCTGACCCCAAACACGTGGAGTTGTTCAAATGCAGCAAAAGTTTTTGAAAAGGCCTTTGGGTTAAGGCTTGCCACTGTGTGCTCAGTTCTGTGTAGTAACGCCCTCTGCCTGTAAACGTGCAACATTACAGCTTACTAGAAGGCTATAAGGCTGCAGCGTGAGATGACTGAGCTTTCTGTCCTTTTATTATCTAGGCTTTGTTCTTGTCCCTCCAAAATCCCCCACTCCCTCCCCATAGCTTCCCCCTCCTGCCTCTGCATTTTCCCTCTCATCTTCTGCAACCCAATCCATCCCCCCCAAGCCACTCCGCTCTGGCTCAGTCCAGGAGCTGGACTTCAAAACGGTCCTTTAGACGGGCTTTAGACACTCTAAAACAATTCCTTACATCTTTTAACCCCCTTCCTCCCACCCACCCCAAAGGCCGTTCTCCCCAGCAAGGCCTACAAAGCAGGCAGAGTTTCCTGGCCCAGCCACCTTGCAGGTACAATGAGCCAGGAAAACGCTAGAGGAACTTTCCGGACAGCAGAACTTAAAAACGTGCAGCTTTTAATCAGCCTGGCCAGAAAATCTCTTCCTATCACATGTGTTACGGCAACACCCAGTGGCACCCAACGTGATCAGGACCACGCTGTGCTAAGCGCCAGGCACACCCCTGGCAATGACACACAGCCCTTCCCTAACGAGTTTGCAATATAAACACACAAGAGACGGGGCGGTGACCTGCTCAAGGCCACAGGCAGGGTTAGAACCCAGCTCTCCTGACTCCCCAGCCCACCTGAATTAGCTTGGGCCAATGGAATTGCCTGGTACTCTTGTGGTGGGGCAGCCTATAAACACACCATGCTGCCGGCAGTCTCAGGATGACGGGGGCCCACGTGCTCACAGAATGTAGTAGCACAAAAGCCCATGTTCTAACTGCCGCAAGGACGCACAGGTCACATGTCAGCAAGTGAGTCACTGCAGAGCAAGAGAACTAAGCACATGGGCCAGATCTTCAGCGGCTGTGGTTCAGCGGAGCCCCATTGATTTCAAAGGATCTGCTCCAAGCCGAGAATGTGGCCCTTGGTTCCCGGCACCCCGGCAAGGCCCTGTTTGCGCTGCGTGGCTCAGGGTGCCTGCTGTTGGTTTTTAGCTGTGGTTGTGAAAGAGGCTGGACGGCAGTCCCCGGAGAATCGAGTCCTGTGCTTCTCCACAGGCCCAGCACAACGGGAGCCAGACAGGGGAAGAGGGTTGCACCCCATTCCCAGCTCCCTGAGTCACCCAGTCCCGCCTCTGTTTGGCTACCCCCTTCCCTCCTTCATTACTGTGCAAAAGACATTGCCATTTTAAAATAAGCAAAGGCCACACTACCTGCTCACCACAGGCAATGACAAGGCAGGTGCAACCCACTGGCAAGTCTATGTTACAGGTCTGGGCCTGAGCCACAGAGGATATGAGCGATCACAGCCTATAGCTACGGAGCTTTAACTCCAGCTGGTCCGGTCCATGATTTTAGCTCTGGAAGTCCCTCCTTCTCAATCCCAAGAAGGTGGCTGTGACACATGCTCAGGAGAATTAGTCCTCAGCCTCACGTTCTAAATACTTCCTGGCCTTTGCCTTCTAGACCCTGATATCGACCCTTCCTGGTACACGGGGCGTGGGATCAGACCTGTGGGACGGTTTGGCCGGAGGAGAGCTGTCGTGGGGAGCTCCCAGAAGTCGGGCTATGGACACAGGCAAGCTTGCCTCCCTCTAGAAGAAAGCAGTGAATCCATTCAAGATGAATGAAATGGCTAAGACAAAGAATGAATTTGAATGATGCTAAGAAAAGACCCTTCTCCTCTCTTCCTTCCACATCCCAGCCTCTCTTCTAGGCAAATGAAAATGTTTGGTCTCATTTCAATGTATCTTTGTGGCTATAAATGATAGAAACCAAAGAGCAGTTGATAACTCCAGTATTTCTGCAGACAATTTCCCTCTTGCCTGTTTTTTCTTTTTCTCTCCCCTGTTCCCCATTTGTCCCCCATCTCTGGCTTTTGCTCGCAATCTAAGATGATTTGCGCCAGAAAATTGCTAGGGGAAAGAAATACAACTTCCCATGTTAATTATCTTCCTAGAACATGGGCTCTTTTATACAAACCAAAATAATAATAAAAAAATTGAGAAACCGAGCCCGGCACGTGTCTGCTGTGACTTGAAATGAATCAGACTTGTCTCAACTCTCCCGGGCAGTAGGATCTCTAGACCGAGTGGCATTACTTTCCCCTCAGATTGCGTCTCTTTTCCTCAACAATTTCTCTTCCACACAATAAAGTCTTTTGACCTATCACTGGGCAGAGGCGCCAGCCTTTTAGTCTGGATTCTGAATCCATCTGAAAAGAGGTGGAATATAACTGGTCCTACTCCCCTGACCAATGTGTCATGCCAGCAGGAGTAATACACTGGTGAATCAAGATGACCATTTCAGCAGGCCCCACACAGCTGGCTTTGCAGCAGTCCAGGTGGTGCAGACATCTTGCCATTGTGCATCTGTGCAGTCCCACCCACATCCTAGGACAACAAACACACACTTACTGCTCTGCTGAGGCCTGAGCCGGCGTCTCTAATTCCCAGCTCTGTTAGTCACGCACTGCGGGCCACCCATGCCGCTCTGCATCAGATTTGCCTATTAGTCAGGTCAGACCAGATGATCTAATGGTCCCTTCTGGCTTTAAAATCTAGAAGATGCTGAATCCATGTAAGCCTTACTTCCCACTTACACCAAACTGTCATGTACAATGTTCCTGCTCTCCTTTTAAACAATGCACGGCTGCATGGCTGGGTGAGCTCCCCGCTGCTATCCTGCCGTCTGCGGCCCACCGGCCCCCAGCCCGGAGTGCCACGCTACTCTACGTTACTTGAGAAACACTGTGAAGTAGGCCAGATCCTCTGCTGGTGAAAATCGGCATAGCACCATTGGCTTCCCTGGGGCTACAAACGCCTCTGGAAAAGGGGGATACAAGTCGCACACCACATTTGGCAGCGGGAACAATAAGCAGCCGCTAGCACCGAATCGGAAATTAGGGTTGCCAGGTGGTTGGTTTTTGACTGAAAAGTCCGGTCGTAAAGGGAACCTGGAAGTGTCCGATCAGATGTACGGACTGGACACTAATAGCCTGGTTACTGCAGGCGGGGGGGGGGGTAGTGGCGGCCTGTTGCCCAGCCCTGAAGTGGCGGCTCCCACGGCAGCAAACATGCACCAGCTCGGGCCGGAGGCGGCCCCTTTGCAGAGCATGGCTTGTGGGGCTGTGGCAGGAGACAGAGTGCGGGGACTCACGGCGAGTGGGGTCAGGGCTCTCAGGAGGCATAGAACGTTCCCCGGGCGGGAAGGAACACGAGCTGCCCCGCCAGCCGGCACGTCCCCTGGGTGCACTCTCAGGCAGCTCTGGGGCAGAGAGGGCTTGTGCGGGCGAGGAAGGGGGCTGTTGGGCAGGCAGCGCAGAAGGAGGCAGGAGGCTGCTCTGTCCTCTGGGTGAAGCAGGTAGGAGGGGGGAGCAACAGGCCTCTGCTTCTAATGACCATGGAGAGCCCCACCGCGCAGCCCGCGGGGAAACGGAAGCCTGGGGGGAAAGCACAGCCCTGAGCTCCTGCGGCATGAACAGCCGCTGCTGGGGAAAGCAGCATCTACAACATAATTAGGGGCCCGACTCTCCTTTCTCAACCCGGTGTAATTCAGGAGTCACTCCACTGAAGCAGGTGGGGGAAATTCTCCACCTCCAAAATAGGAATAGGAACTCATTGAATATCAGGGTTGGAAGGGACCTCGGGAGGTCATCTAGTCCAACCCCCTGCTCAAAGCAGGACCAATCCCCAGACAGATTTTTGCCCCAGATCCCAAAATGGCCTCCTCAAGGATTGAGCTCACAACCCTGCATTGAGTAGGCCAGTGCTCAAACCACTGAGCTATCCAAGTGATACACAGCCTAGCACACAGTGCGGCTGTTGGGCATGAAGCAAATGGAGCGACAGCACAGGGTCTGAGAAGGGTTATGGGTGCTGCACTCTGCAGCGGTGGGTCGGTGCTGGGGTGAATGTGCCCCACGCTCAATCAGGTAGGAACAGGGTTAATTTTCTGCAAAGGGAGCCAGGCCCCAGAGGCCCCGTTCAGCCTGCCAATTAGAGGCAGCCAGCTTCCACCTGGGCTTAGCAGGGCAGGTATTTAAGCAGGAAGAGGAAGTAGTCTAGGAGGTCCTAAGAGGAAAGCCTCTTAGACAAACACCTGGATTCTCTGAGTGTCCTAGAGCCCAGCCAGTGATCTGCTCCTGCTAGAGGGTGGCCTATCTCCTGAGGACCCTTTCAGATAAGCCTCTAAATTCCCTTTTGGTTTTGAGCTGCCTGGGATGTCGGTTAGGGTTACCATATTTTGAGCCTCCAAAAGGAGGACACTCCACGGGGCCCTGCCCACGCCCCCATGCCCCAACTCCACCCCTTCCCCAAACTCCCTGCCCCAACTCCGCCCCTCCCCTGCTTCCCGTGAACATTTGATTCGCAGGAAGCCTGAAGCAGGTAAGGGGGGTGGGGGGGAGGAGACGCGGCCCAGTCTGGCCCCCCCGGTGTCTCCAGCCTGGGTTGGCTCGGGCCCTGGGGTGCCGGCCCC